ATGATAATCAACGAAAAATGATGGGAAGGAAGAGAGAGAGAGAGAATGAGAGACAGAGAAAGAGAGAGAAAAGGATCGAACACACAAAAAAATAGAAATGAAAAGATGAAAGAAGAAGAATAAAAAGAATGCCAAGAATACGAACTTAAGAGGAGGGAGAGAGAGAGACAGAGTGTGTGTGTGTGTGTGTGTGTGTGTTGTGTGCGCGAGACAGACACACAGAGAGAGAAAGAGAGACAGACAGAAACAGACAGACACACAGGCAGCAGACAGAGAAAGAGAGAGAGAGAGACAGAGACAAACAGAGAGAGAGGAGAGAGAGAGAGAGAGAGAGAGAGTGAAATCTGTTGACCTAGAATCACTTGTGTGGTGTGAGAAATTCTATATATATATATAATATATATATATATATATATATATATATATATATATATATATATATATACTATATATGTATATATATATATATAATATATATATTATATTATATATACATATATATATGTATGTATTATAATATATATATAGAATTTCTCACACACACAACAGTGATTCTAGTCAACAGATTTCACTCTCTCTCTCTCTCTTTCTCTGTCTGCCTGCCTTGTGTGTCTGTCTGTGTGTCTGTCTGTGTGTCTGTTTCTGTCTCTCTCTTCTCTCCTCTGTGGTCTGTCTCGCGCACATATTATCAGACACATTTCATCTCTATGAAACTACTTGTGAAGTTCCGTCTACTTGGGAAGTTCCGTCGAGATTCTTTTTCCTTCTATGAAACTTCTTGGGAAGTTCCCGCCGAGATTTTTTTTTCATCTCTAATGTTTCTCACGAAAGAACTTTCTGGTCTACTTAAATTCAAGTGCGCATCATGTGGTCCTCCTGCCAGGTCCGACTCAAAGAATTGCGCCCAATAATTCGACTTTTCCACTTGCGAACACTGTTCTTTTTTCTGTTTGAGGCGAACACTGTTGTAACCTTTTTTCTGTTTGAGGCGAACAAATCTTTTTTCTGTTTGAGGCGAACACTGTTGTAATCTTTTTTCTGTTTGAGGCGAACACTGTTTTTTTCTGTTTGTAACCTTTTTTCTTTTCTATTCGTACGAAGATTCCGCCGCGATTCCCTTGCATCAAACTTCTTTTGAAGTTCACGCAGATTCAGATTCAGAGGAATCTTATGGCTCGACAACGTTACCGAAGGATATTGCCGGCGACAGGCCTTCCAAACTTCGTCACCCACGACTTGCACAAACCGCAGTGCTTCCCTCAACAGATATTTGACACATGGTTCCACTACAGACTGTAGAAGGCTGCTCCAGAGGCGCATCAGCTTCTGCGCTGTAGAGAATATGCTGATAACAAGGAGCCTCAATCCCCTCTTAAGGTATTCTTCTAACTTCTTTTGAAGTTCTTTTCCATCTGACTTCTCATGAGAATTGGCATTAAGCAAATTCTCGTTAAAGTTCTGCTTTGAAACCCGTTTATCGCCCCTTCGAAACTTGCGCTTCAGGGAAAATTTATGGTTAGACTTCGGGGATTCCACACGATGTGATGAATCCTTTAATGCTGTCGTCGATTCACCCGTGGCTACCAAAAACTGCAGCGCCTCGCTCAGCAGATACTTGGCGCCGGTTTGTAGAAGGGTTTGTAGAAGGCTGCTCCCGAGGCACATCAGCCTCAATCCCCTCTTCAGGCATTCGGCATAGTCTCCCGTGTAGAATTTTCCTATTATTATTATTGTTATTATAACTATAGTTTTTATCATCAGCCTCATTACCTTTTTATAATATTTCACCAATATCTTTCCTATCACCCTCAGTGTTATCATAAAAAGGATCATAAGTATAACTATAGCTAATGTTGTTGCTCTCATCGTTTCCTAAATCGAGTTAGGAAGAGAACGTTCAAGATCGCTGTTTTCACATTTGCTCATCGTGCTTCTTTTCGTTTGCTCGCACATAGTCGTCGTCTCTTTTCTTTGCGGACACATTTAGTAATTTCCACGCGGTGCGTTACTTAGATACAGAAAGATATCTAGGAATCAACGTGATTTTTTCGGTTTGTGTGTTATGTGGTATGTGGACAGACAAGCATGGTATATTAAGCGTTAGTATGCAAAGCTATGAGGAAATACACTTTGATCATGTATATCGTACTCGGCAAAAAAATATACATAGCCGCTATTATAATTATTATTATTATTTCTAAAATTATTATTATAAAAATATACTTTGCCAACAGAGGATTCGGACAAGGTGAGTCGTTCAAATGGGAGCGAATTCGGATGTGTCGGATGTGACCGAATGAGCATATTCCCAGCGAACGATAATCAATTAATTCTCTGAATGAATTCTGAATTTCAACTTCACCCCCTCCTTCAACCCCCACCCCAACCCTCTCCCACCCCACCCCCTTCTTCCACCCCCTCCCTCCATCCCCTCTTCCACCCCGGCAAACCCATCTCAAGATCCAATTTAACGCTTTATTTTCAGATCTGACCAGAGTTTGGACGGTGCGACGCGGAACACATCGTCGCAATAGGAATGGGTATCCAATATTTTTCTCTGCTCTTTCCTTTACCTTCTCTCTCCGCTTTCTACCGCAAGAGGCGACGGGCACACGACAGCTCCGTTTCCTAATCTCTCTCATCGCCAAGGAGACGTTTGCAACTAGTCCCTACCTTGCGAAGTTGCCGTCCGAGATTCTTTTCCCATCATGAAACCTTTCCGTCGAGATTTCTTTCCATCATAAACCTTGGGAAGTTTCCGTCCGAGATTCTTTCCATCATGAACCTTGCGAAGTTCCGTCCGAGATTCTTTTCCATCATGAAACCTTGCGAAGTTCCGTTCCGAGAGATTCTTTTCCATCATGAAACCTTGCGAAGTTCCGTCCGAGATTCTTTTCCATCATGAAACCTTGCGAAGTTCCGTCCGAGATTCTTTCCCATCATGAACCTTGCGAAGTTCGTCCGAGATTCTTTTTCCATCAATGAAACCTTGCGAAGTTCCGAGATTCTTTTCGAAACAAGTTCCGTCCGAGATTCTTTTCCATCATGAAACCTTGCGAAGTTCCGTCCGAGATTCTTTTCCATCATGAAACCTTGGAAGTTCCGGCCGAGATTCTTTCCATCTCTATGTAGCTTCTGCGAAGTTTCCGCCTCGAATCTTTCCTATTCGCACGAAGCGCCCGCAGCTATTCTTTTCGCAGCGATGCATCTCCATGCAGATTCTCGTGAAGGTGCTTACGAACCCGCTTCTCGCCTCCGCTTGTGAAGTTTCCGCTCGAATCTTTTTCTATTCTCCGAAGATCCCTTGTATTTATCTCGGTCAATGCACCCGAGGGAGCGGGCTGCGACGTCGATCTACCCTTATTGTGACGCCAAAAATCAAACGAGGACGCAGACAATGTGCTGGACGTTCCTCTAGCTCGAGCTCCCCAAACCTCACCTGGATAGCGAGGTACCTTTTGAACGCGAAAACCATCCAGACGGGGAAGCTAAGCTCATAATTGAATTTCTACCTTAAGGTCCTCGGTAATCTCGAGGTGAGATGCCAAGGTGAAAACGTATTTTTATGAGAGAGAGAGAGAGAGAGGGTAAACAGAGAGAGCGAGAAGAGGAAAAGAGAGAGAGAGACATCCCGAGGGCTTCCCGCAAACGGATACGATTAACATCGAACTAAGGTTTTATAGAAACCAAATCGAAACAAGAATTACGTGGTTTGAAACCCACTGGATAAAGATTAAAAAAAAAATCTAAATATTTAATATAAATTGAGAAATATATATATATTTCTCATTTATATATATATATATATATATATATATATATATATATATATATATATATATATATATATATATATATATAAACGAATTACGTTTGAAACCCACGAATTTTAGATTGAAATATCTTTTTCTGTACTATGATTGTGAGTGAGCGTGCGGAGGAGACAGAGGGATGGAAGAGAAGAGGACCGTACGGGTACAGAGTGATTGAGAATAATGTGGAGGTGGAGCAAGGGGAAATGCGAGTGCATGTGTTCGTATCCAAGTAATTGTTTTGTGTTTTAACTTTCAAATGTATAAAATGAAAAGTATAAACAATATTAGAAGAGTGCTAAAAAAATTACCAAAGCGCGTAATTTGCATAGCAAGCAATATGCATACTGGTGCTATTAGGAAAATAATTCCAGTGCAGGAGATATTCCCACGTATGGTTTATGAGGCCCGTTCTTCAGAGGAACTAACTCTCTGTCTCTTCCTCTGTTTCCCTCTCTATCTAATGCTTTTGGTTTCTGAGATGATCCTCTTCTTTAGGCCATTAGTACTAAGTCTTTTGGCAGGTTTCGGTCATTTGTGCCGTTTCTTGTTTTCCAAGTTGTACGAGAGAATACGCGAGAATCAGATCAACCGCGAGGTCCACGACGCAGCGATGGAAGCGGAGGTCGTGGTAGAAGTTCGCGAAAACTTGCCGGACAAAACTCACGCTGCTTCGTACGTTGAAGCTATCAAGTTGACACCTAGTCGTGTGGTGAAGTTCCTTGGGAAGCTTCAACAACTTGAAGTTGCAGATGTCATGAGTGCGTTGCAAAGAAACGCTGAAATCGTTATCAAAATAGGAGGCATCATCCATGAATGCGAGATGCACCTGAAATTACTCCACGATCATCTCCCGAGGTGGAAGATGATGTAGTCTCGCCTAAATTGGCACCTCGCAAAGATGACGTAGTCTCGCCTGAATTGGCACCTCGCAAAGATGACATAGTCTCGCCTGAATTGACACCTCACAATGACGTAGTCTCGCCTGAATTGGCACCTCGCGAAGATGACGTAGTCTCGCCTGAATTGGCACCTCGTGAAGAGGAATCGCTGGACAAGTCTCATCATCACAGACTAGGTGGTGTCCTTGAAAAGTTATTTGGGCGCTTTGCAGGCTGTGCGTCCGGAGGGAAAGACAACAAAGTTCATGTACCAACGTTACTCAGTACTAATGCAGTGGATAGGCGAAGTGGGGACACACATATCAGATGGGTACATTGACGACATCTTGGAAAGATTGTTTGGCGATTAGGTCGAAGATCTAGCTGATGATTCGCCCGAAGAAGCGGACGACGCCGACGTTGATCTTGTACCCCTAATGACGCCAAAAGTAAGCGAGGACTCAGCCGAAGAGCTGGACGCTTCTCGAGCGAGTAAGTCGTCAGCCCTCCCCGAATCCCAGCTGGAGAGCGAGGTCCCTAGTGGGCACGAGAGCCATTCAGACGGGGATTTGAAAAGCTCGCTCGACGCGGTAGATCAGAAGGTATCTACAGCACCTCGGCTGGAAAGCGAGGTGCTACTTGCTGCAGACATAGATTTGAAAGGCAAGGTCGAAGAGATAAAGTTGAGAATGCAAGCCTTGGCAGATGCCTTGGCTAATCAACACATTGTCTACGATACGAGGCTAGAAGACCTGACCACTCGCCTGTATGATAAAGTGAATGGTTTAAATGAAGAAGCAGTTCAGCTTTTGCAAGCTAAACTGATACATCAATTTTACCTGAAGTTGATAATCTTCAATGCCCTCAGTAAATCGAAGACTGAGGAGTGAAATGTCAGTTGCTAATGCTGAAGGTACCAATATTACGCACTGACGACGATAACGAAGTACCGGGAGAATCTGTGGATAAGAGACAGTTTTCAGATAGGTACATTGGTGATAACGGAAAAATTTTGGCGGTTGGGTAGACGGCAAAGATCTCTCTCTCTCTCTCTCTCTATCTCTCTCTCTCTCTCCCTCTCTCTCGGTCAATGCACCCGAGGGAGCGGGCTGCGACGTCGATCTACCCTTATTGTGACGCCAAAATCAAACGAGGACGCAGACAATGTGCTGGACGTTCCTCTAGCTCGAGCTCCCCAAACCTCACCTGGATAGCGAGGTACCTTTGAACGCGAAAACCATCCAGACGGGGAAGCTAAGCTCATAATTGAATTTCTACCTTAAGGTCCTCGGTAATCTCGAGGTGAGATGCCAAGGTGAAAACGTATTTTTATGAGAGAGAGAGAGAGAGGGTAAACAGAGAGAGCGAGAAGAGGAAAAGAGAGAGAGAGACATCCCGAGGGCTTCCCGCAAACGGATACGATTAACATCGAACTAAGGTTTTATAGAAACCTGAGGTTGATAATCTTCAATGCCCTCAGTAAATCGAAGACTGAGGAGTGAAATGTCAGTTGCTAATGCTGAAGGTACCAATATTACGCACTGACAACGATAACGAAGTACCGGGAGAATCTGTGGATAAGAGACAGTTTACAGATAGGTACATTGGCGATAACGGAAAAATTTTGGCGGTTGGGTAGACGGCAAAGATCTCTCTCTCTCTCTCTCTCTCTCTCTCTCTCTCGGTCAATGCACCCGAGGGAGCGGGCTGCGACGTCGATCTACCCTTATTGTGACGCCAAAATCAAACGAGGACGCAGACAATGTGCTGGACGTTCCTCTAGCTCGAGCTCCCCAAACCTCACCTGGATAGCGAGGTACCTTTGAACGCGAAAACCATCCAGACGGGGAAGCTAAGCTCATAATTGAATTTCTACCTTAAGGTCCTCGGTAATCTCGAGGTGAGATGCCAAGGTGAAAACGTATTTTTATGAGAGAGAGAGAGAGAGAGGGTAAACAGAGAGAGCGAGAAGAGGAAAAGAGAGAGAGAGACATCCCGAGGGCTTCCCGCAAACGGATACGATTAACATCGAACTAAGGTTTTATAGAAACCAAATCGAAACAAGAATTACGTGGTTTGAAACCCACTGGATAAAGATTTAAAAAAAAAAATCTAAATATTTATCAATATAAATTGAGAAATATATATATTTCTCAATTTATATATATATATATATATATATATATATATATATATATATATATATATAAATTTATAATATATATATATATATATATATATATATATATATATATATATATATATATATATATATATTATAATATATATATAATATATAAACGAATTACGTTTGAAACCCACGAATTTTAGATTGAAATATCTTTTTCTGTACTATGATTGTGAGTGAGCGTGCGGAGGAGACAGAGGGATGGGAAGAGAAGAGGACCGTACGGGTACAGAGTGATTGAGAATAATGTGGAGGTGGAGCAAGGGGAAATGCGAGTGCATGTGTTCGTATCCAAGTAATTGTTTTGTGTTTTAACTTTCTATGTATAAAATGAAAAGTATAAACAATATTAGAAGAGTGCTAAAAAAATTACCAAAGCGCGTAATTTGCATAGCAAGCAATATGCATACTGGTGCTATTAGGAAAATAATTCCAGTGCAGGAGATATTCCCACGTATGGTTTATGAGGCCCGTTCTTCAGAGGAACTAACTCTCTGCCTCTTCTCTGTTTCCCCCTTTCTATCTAATGCTTTGTTTCTCAGATGATCCTCTTCTTTTCGCCATATGTACTAAGTCTTTTGGCAGGTTTCGGTCATTTGTGCCGTTTCTTGTTTTCCAAGTTGTACGAGAGAATACGCGAGAATCAGATCAACCGCGAGGTCCACGACGCAGCGATGGAAGCGGAGGTCGTGGTAGAAGTTCGCGAAAACTTGCCGGACAAAACTCACGCTGCTTCGTACGTTGAAGCTATCAAGTTGACACCTAGTCGTGTGGTGAAGTTCCTTGGGAAGCTTCAACAACTTGAAGTTGCAGATGTCATGAGTGCGTTGCAAAGAAACGCTGAAATCGTTATCAAAATAGGAGGCATCATCCATGAATGGCGACAGGCACCTGAAATTACTCCACAATCATCTCCCGAGGTGGAAGATGATATATGCATGCCTAAGTTAGCACCTCGCGAAGATAATGTAGTCTCGCCTGAATTGGCACCTCGCGAAGAGGAAGCGCTGAACAAGTCTCATCATCACAGACTAGGTGGTGTCCTTGACAAGGTATTTGGGCGCTTTACAGCCTGTGCGCCCGAAAGGAGACACAACAAAGTACCAATGTTTCGCAGTACTAATGTAGGCGAAGTGGGTACATTGGGTACAGATGGGTACATTGACGACATCTTGGAAAGATTGTTTGGCGATTAGGTCGAAGATCTAGCTGACGATTCGCCCGAAGAAGCGGACGACGCCGACGTCGATCTTGTACCCCTAATTATGACGCCAAAAGTAAGCGAGGACTCAGCCGAAGAGCTGGACGCTTCTCGAGCGAGTAAGTCGTCAGCCCTCCCCGAATCCCAACAGGAGAGTGGGGTCCCTAGTGGGCACATTGACGACATCTTGGAAAGATTGTTTGGCGATTTGGTCGAAGGTCTGAAAGACGATTCGCCCGAGGAAGCGGACGACGCCGACGTCGATCTTGTACCCCTTATTATGACGCCAAAAGTAAGCGAGAACACAGCCGAAGAGCTGGACGCTTCTCGAGCGAGTAAGTCGTCAGCCCTCCCGAATCCCAACAGGAGAGTGGGGTCCTAGTGCACATTGACGACATCTTGGAAAGATTGTTTGGCGATTTGGTCGAAGGTCTGAAAGACGATTCGCCCGAGGAAGCGGACGACGCCGACGTCGATCTTGTACCCCTTATTATGACGCCAAAAGTAAGCGAGAACACAGCCGAAGAGCTGGACGCTTCTCGAGCGAGTAAGTCGTCAGCCCTCCCCGAATCCCAACTGGAGAGTGGGGTCCCTAGTGGGCACGAGAGCCATTCAGACGGGGATTTGAAAAGTGCTCTCGACGCGGTAGATCAGAAGGTATCTACAGCACCTCGGCTGGAAAGCGAGGTGCTACTTGCTGCAGACATAGATTTGAAAGGCAGGGTCGAAGAGATAAAGTTGAAAATGCAAGCCTTGGCAGCTGCCTTGGCTAATCACCATATTGTCTACGATATGAGGCTAGAAGACCTGACCACTCGCCTGTATGATAAACTGAATGGTTTAAATGAAGCTAAACTGATAAATGAATTTTACCTCAATGTCTTCGGTAAATCCGAGACTGAGGAGTGAAATGTCAGTTGCTAATGCTGAAGGTACCAATATTACGCACTGACGACGATAACGAAGTACCGGGAGAATCTGTGGATAAGAGACAGTTTACAGATAGGTACATTGGCGATAACGGAAAAATTTTGGCGGTTGGGTAGACGGCAAAGATTCTCTCTCCTCTCTCTCTCTTCTCGTCTCTCTCGCTCTCTCTCTCTCTCTCCTCTCTCCTCGGTCAATGCACCGGGGAGCGGGCTGCCGACGTCGATCTACCTTATCATGTGACGCCAAAATCAAACGAGGACGCAGACAATGTGCTGGACGTTCCTCTAGCTCGAGCTCCCCAACACCTCACTGGATAGCGAGGTACCTTTGAACGCGAAAACCATCCAGACGGGGAAGCTAAGCTCATAATTGAATTTCTACCTTGATCCTCGGTAATCTCGAGGTGAGATGCCAAGGTGAAAACGTATTTTTATGAGAGAGAGAGTAAACAGAGAGAGAGAGAGAGACATCCCGAGGGCTTCCCGCTGAGGAATCTTGAGGGCAAACGGATACGATTAACATGGGGTACAAGATCGACGTCGTTTTATAGAAACCAAATCGAAACAAGATAAAGATTGAAAAAAAAAATCAATATAAAAAAAATATATATAAATTGAGAAATATATATATTTCTCAATTTATATATATATATATATATATATATATATATATATATATATTATATATTATATATATATATATATATATTATATTATATTATATATATATATATTACTACATATATATTGAGAAATATATATATTTCTCAATTTATATTGATATTTAGATTTTTTTTTTTCAATCTTTATCTTGTTTTCGATTTGGTTTCTATCTTCGATGTTAATCGTATCCGTTTGCCCTCAAGATCCTCAGCGGGAAGCCCTCGGATGTCTCTTCTCTCTCTTTTTTCCTCTTCTCGCTCTCTCTGTTTACTCTTTCATAAAAAAAATATATATATATATATATATATATATATATATATATATAT